TCTCTCTCTCTCTTTCTTTCTTTTAATTTTAATTTTTATTAGTGGATGTTTGCAGTACCTAATGATCACAGTCATCATGGGGAGCTGGTGCACCTGCATGGCACATCTTAATTCTTTTTATGTCCCTCCTTCCCCTCCTCTCCCTCCTTCCTCTATCTCTTGGCCCCCTTCTGTTTTGCAAATTATCTGTCTTTTATTTTGTCCTTTCATTTGTCTATCCTTTGAGTTTCTCAGCTTTTACACAACTGATGATGCAGTGGGGGCTCAACAAAGGACACCAGGACACAGGACCTCCATCCCCAGGGGCATCACACAGTCCAGATGCCTCCCCACTCACTCGAGTCTCTGTCACAGCACTAGGATGTGGATGTGAGTGCCATAAGCTTGCTGGAGTAGGAGACACGAGCCCCCTGCAGCATGAGGTGAATCTGTCAGCAGGACGTGCCTTGGAGGAGCAGAGTCACCGTTGTCCTGGCCTCCCAGACTTACCGGCTCCTGCTCTCCGTGGGGACCCAGGACATGCTTGTGGCCAAGAGCAGGGCCCTGTCCCTGAAAAGGAGCTTTACCTTTGCTTCTCTGGGTTTTGCCCCCTGGAGGTACCTGTCTAGAAGGCTGTGCTAGCACCATGGACCCCATAGCCACCTCTTAACCCAGCTACCTGCCACTTACCCTTCAGCGTAATCCTGGGACCACTCCACTCAGGAAGCCTCCCTTAGGGCTCTTCCAGCCCATGGAGCCCTCAGTGACACCTTATGGGTGGCAGATAAGAATCACCCCAGGATGCTGTGCACTCAGGTTTCTTGACCCTGGGTCAGGACTCCTTCCTGTAGTTTGCTCCTCCTAAAGATGTGGACTGGGCAGGAGCTGCAGTGCCAGGGAAGAAGTGGGCCAACAGCAGTGTCCTGGGGAAACAGCCAGCAGCAGGGGCAGGGCAAGGGGTCATGGCAGCCTCCACTGTCATCTCAGCTGCTGGGAAACTGCCTATGGCAAGTGACCTGGCTGGGAGACCCCAGTGCTGGGCAGTTTCCAAAGTCAGCTCAGGGTGGCCTGATTTTAGTCCTGGCCATGCCCTCTGTGATCCGCAGGGCCTCAAGCAAGGTAAGGCATAGGTTGGGAGCAGACTGGGCCTGTGTGGCCTCCTCCCAGCCAGGCTCCCCTCCCATGACACTGGTGGCCCTTTGGGATGACCTGAGTTTGTTTTCAAAGCTCCCCGCACACCTCCTCTCCTATGGGGACCCCTGGGCTCAATCTCCCACCCTAGTGTCATCTGTCAAGTTCCACGTCACCACCACTCTCTGGCCTCATGCGTCTGCCTCAGCCAACCTGGATCTCCAGCCCCTGCACCCACATTTGGCCTCATGTCTGTTCCCCTTGTCCTGATGGCCTTTCCTCTCTCCTGAGTCAGTGGCACTGGGATACGCAGCAAGGCAGACCATGGTCCTCCAGTTCTGTCTCGAGTGATCCTTTTGCCCTGGGTTACCCAGGTGGCCACGGCCACTGAATGCCTCTGAGCCAGGATAGGAGTAGGTGATGGAACCTCACTGCTCCTGCCCTGGACCCTGAGGAGTGAGCTCTGGCCTGGAGTCACACAGAGCTTGGGGACGGTCCAAACACCCCGGCCAGGTCCTCAGGGAAGGGTTCTTTGTACTCTGTGCATCCCACCCCTCGCCAGCCCCTGCAAGGACCACAGGAGGCCATGAGTGTGTTGGAAGCTGGCCCAGTTCCTGAGGTGCAGAGGACCCAGTCTGCCTGAGCTCCCAAGTGTCCCCAGATCCCACCTCAATTATCACTCACACCTCAGAGAGCTCTGAGTTTCTTGTAGGCCCTGACCAAAGTGCCTGGTGCTGGTTTCTCAGCCCCTGCTGTGGGAGAAGCAGAGACTGATAGCCCAGCCTAGCAAACTGGGGACAGACATGAAGAGGAGCAGCAAGGGTCAGACCTGGTCTGGGCCCTTTGTGCAGGGAGGCCGCTCTCAGGGACCCTGCAGATTCCTTGAAGATCACCAGGGAGGGCTGGGAGGCAGCAAGGTGGAGGGGAAAGGGGACCTAGGCAGGGTCTGTGTGCATAGCTGTGGCCTGTGTGCAGCCTGTGCCTGTGTCTAGCTGTGCATCACATGTGCGGGCACCCGGATAACTCGTCTCATAGCCGGCAGGCAGAAGGGAGAGATGCATGCACAGGAGAGGGAAAGAAGGCTGTGGGCAGAGGAAAAGAAGCGGGTAGGGTGGCGGTTCTGGGAGGGGCTTGTGCAGGCAAAGGAGGTCTTCGATCAGCCCCAGCATGCTGAAGAAGGCCTGGGGCTTCCTCCTGGGGCTGGCCCACGTGGTGGGACATGCAGGGTACAATGACTTCTTTTTTTTTTTTTTTTTTTACAATGACTTCTTTGGGGCAGACCTTGAGGACAGCCCCTAAGTTCCATGGAACTCTGGGACCAGTGCTCAGCCTGAGGCTGGTTCTGCGTTCTGTGGCTGGTGAGAAAAGACCACAGGTCAGAAGTGGCAGGAAGGAGTGAAGGTGGGAGATGGTGGAGGTTAGACACACCACCCTGGCCTAAAGGGAGACGTCTAACCTGAATATCGCTCAGACTCGGAGTGACTTGGTACACCAGACCTGTGTGAAGACTCCCTGGTTCCCAAACAGCACTTGTAACCACTGGTGGGCAGACCCAGGACTCAATGTGGCCCATAGAAAGGGCTGGTTCTCCAGCCTCCGTCAGCTTACAACCCCTGCCCAGCCCTCTGAGTCCCTTTTGGGAGCGGCCGGCCACACAATCTTTCCACTACTCTGCTCCCTCGCAGCAGTCAGCACAGCCAGCTGTGTGCGAGCCCAGCCTCTGAGTGGGGAGAAGCTGCCACCCCACCTCCCCCTGGGTACCCCACTCTCCAGATCACCCCAGGCCTCTGTGTGCTCCACGTGCCATTCAAGCCTCTCTCTCCTCTCTTTCCTCTTCTCTCTTCAGCTCTGCCCGCTTGCATTAAATTTCCGATTTAATGCCCTTTCCAAACTTGGCTTTGGTCCTTTGTAAACTCTGCCTTGTCAGTCATTTACACTTGCCTGTGTTTTTAGCCCTTCTTTTGTCTTTTTGAGCCTTTGTCACCCTCTCATTTAAATGGCCCTGTTAGATCATGTACGCGCTCTACTTCTTCCTCTGGCCTCTTTATTTCTTGTGTCTTGTGTCTCCACTCTCCTTGGTGAGCTTCCTAGGATTTTCCTTCCTAGACGTCTTTAGTAGAAGGTGGTTTTCCATCCAAATCCCAGTGCCGGCGTAGGCAAGTGTCTCAGAGGCAGAGTTTGTGTTTGGTTCGGCTGGAACCTGTCAGAGTCCATCAGTTACAGATGGGTTAAAGTGTCAGCTTTGGTCAGTTTTCTGCATCAACCTACTATAGAGCTGGGGCAGTGAGCCGTGCGGCCCTCTGGGCAGGGCCTGCGGTTGCACACTCTGTTTAACAAGGTTGGGCGTTAGCTCCTTGCAGCTCCTGCTCATGAGGAACAGATCCCAAATCTATATTCCCTAGGGCTGAATCCTCCTCTCTTAACCCTGCCTGGCATGAAGCATCATCATAGCCCATTAGGCATAAGGCCTGTTCTCATACCTTCAAGGTTTTGGAAGCCAATTAATGACCTGACTTCCCTGAAATTTCCTCCTTTAAGATGCTTCTAAGAGTTTTCTGGCACTTAGAGAACTTAGTTTCTCACTAAGTTTTAGCTGAGCTTTGCCTTGAAATGCACTTGGCATGTAGACTTTGGTTGAGGGCGTTGGGCATTAACCATGCCTAGTGGTGTAATTTTCCCCTGGCAGCTTTCAGAGCTTAGCATGGGCACAGAAAAGATAAGCAAGTGGCTCCATCCATGTCAGACATTTATCCTGAGTGTGGGACACAAAAGAGAGGGCCCAGGACAGGTAACCCGTTGAGCAAGAGTGACCACATACCCTGCTCTGTGGGTGGCGCTGGAGGGAAAATGGAGACATGGATGGGCAGGAGGTTAAAACAAGGTTAAATAAACAACGGGATGGGAGTAACAAGTCTATAAGCGGGAAACATCACAGTGTTAGCAAAAATGTGTGTGTTTAGGACGGTGAGGTGAAGGACAGTAGTGATAAGATTGTCATGACAAGGATGGCAGTAACAAGGTGAAGGCTGGTAGTGCAATAACTCAGGAATCTGGTCAAGGCCCACGTGTTGGATGGGGAGTCACACAGATATTGAAGTTGGCTGGGTAACAACCATCTGTAGGCTGCAGGAATCAGAGGTCACCCAGGTGCCCAAGCCTGCAGTGGCGAGGAGGTGGCTGATGTTGGGAAGAAGGGGAAGGCAGTGGCGTGAGTGAGAAGCAGACATTTCCAGTG